CTTAGATTTGTGTGTATGTATGTGTGAGAGAGAGAAAGCGAGCACGAGCAGGGGAACAGAGGGGGAGGGAGAAGCAGATCCCCGCTGAGCAGGGAGCCCAATGTGGTCCTTGATTCCAGGACCTTGGGACTGTGATCGGAGCCAAAGGCAGATGCTTAACCAACTGAGCCACCAAGTCGCCTGAATCTATCTCTTATCTAACACTGTGACAGGCGACACAAAACATTTAGGGGCTGGGCTCAGCCCCGGGCTGCGCGCAGTTTGCAGCCCCTGGGCTCACTGGGCGATCTGGGCCTTTGCTCTCTCTGAGACCGCGTCCTAGTCCCTGAACTGGGCCTGGTAACCCGTCTGTGGGAGTCAGCACGGCAGGACCAGACAGCTTGGGGACCTGAGACACCGAGCTGGGGAAGGAAAAAAAAGCCAGGCAGGAGGTGGGGAGGGGCCTCGGATGGGGTTCCGAGGCTTAGGGCCAAAGGGACTGGAGGGCACCCTCCCCGGGGCAGTTGGAGCCCAGGGCACAGACGGCAAGGGGCTGCCTGCACACCCACAGGGTGTCACGTGTGGACATTGGGGGCATGTGCCTCCCAGCAAGTGAGAGCAGCATTAGCAAAGGCTCAATGTCATCGTCACCACTTAGAATCACCGCCACTTAGGAGCACTCACTGTGTACCAAGCGCTTTAAGAGCTTGGTCCCACGTAGTCCCTCCAACAACCCTATGAAACACACATTACTATTATACACTCCAGAGGTGGATATACTGAGAGGCGGGCTGCTTCCCTCTTACAGCAGCATTCATGGAGCATAACCTCTGTGCTAAGCACCGCACTGCCCTGTTCCACCCGGTCCCCGTCATAGCTCCTCCCGAGATGCCCCTGCCTGGAGCCTCACCTCCTAAGGTTCATGCTTTTCGAGGTCCCTTCGCCTTGAATCTGGCCCCATCATTAGCTCTTGACCAAGAGAATGCACCAGAAGTGACAGTGTGACTTCCAAGGCAAGGTCATAAAATAAACTTGTAGTGTCTGCTCAGATCTCTTGGAATCCTTGCTCCCCACAAGAAGCCATGCCCGCCAATAGCCTAGCTGAGCCCCCAGTCCCCAGCCAGCACCCACGGCCGGTGCTGGGAGGGACCAGCTTGGACACCCTGCCTGGCCATGCCCCAGATGATGTCATCGTGGCCAGCGACCCACTGGAGCGTCATGCGAGACCCTGAGCAAGGATGACCTAGCTAAGCCCGGTCAACCCACTAAACCATAAGAAACAAGAACCCATTTTTATTTTAGGGTCATGTGTCTAAATGAAGAGATAAAGGACACGCTACTTGCAAGGGCCCCACAAGGAGAAACTCAGGCCAGCCCCATTTTACAGATGAGGATACTGAGGCACGGGGAGGCTGAGTGACCTGGTGTGAGTCCACAGCCAGTGAGGGTCAGAGTGGGGGGTCTGCTCCCATGCTCTCTGATTCCTCTGGCCTCGACCACGCCTTCACACTGTCAGCCTGCAGGGGTCTGGCCGTGCATGGCAGCGTAAGGTTTGAACCAGGCTGTCTGATTCCCAAGCAAGGAGCCTTCCCCTCCCTGTGCAGGTGTCTCTCCCAGAAGCTGGTGCCCAACATCAGCTGAGCATCTCCCATCCCCCGCCTGCCAAGCCCCCGAGGCCTATCTTGCTCTGCTGGGTGGGGAGACAGAGGCCGGAGCTGTCTGGCCTCCGAGATGGTCTCCTCTCTGGTTCCTGGGTGGGGGTGGGGTGGGGGGGGGAAGGGACCAGAATTTTGACAAATGGCCTCACACATATTAAACAAGAGAAATGACATTGCACAGCCCTGGCGAGGCCCCAAAAGTAAGGGATGAAAAATGGGGCTGATCCATCTTGCAGGCCTCGGTGACAAGAAGAAATGGATCAGCCCTAATAGGGGCCGCACGTTGGGCCCCGGCCTTAAATAAGTCAAATGAGAATGAGGCCAGCCCCAAGGGAGGAGAGGAGCAGGGCAGGAGGCCCGCCTTTCAGGGAAAGAAAGGTTCCCATGGCTGACACAGCAGGCTGGTTTTAGATGCTAAGTGCCAGGTTGGAGAGCTAGAAGCTTCTAGAGAGGCCTGTGGGAGGAGGGGCTCAGAATCCTATTACCACTGAAGGCTGTGGGACCCTGGGTGAGTGACCCAACCTTTCTGAGCCCTGGTTTCCATACACGCAACATGCGGGTTTTGCATATGTTAATTTCATATCAATAACAGTAATATTAGAAGGGCTGGTGTCTGGGGCGTCTGGGTGGCTCCGTCTTTTAAGGACCGGACTCTTGATTTCGGCTCAGGTCATGATCTCAGGTTCATGAGATCAAGCCCCACACTGGGCTCCACACTCATGCTCAGCATGAGTCTGCTTGAGATTCTCTCTCTCCCTCTTTCTCTGCCCTTCCCCCTATTTGTGTGCTTTCTAAACAAATAAAATCTTTTTTAAAAAAAAGGGTTGGTAAACACTTTTAAAGAAGAGCACTTGCCGTATGTGAAACAGGGTGCTAAGCCCATCTATGAACTGTCTTTGTATCATCCCATTCTCAGAGAGGCAGAATACAGAGGTTGAAGGTGTGGGCTCTAAGGCCAGACCACCTGCGTTCAGATCCCAGTTCTGCCACTCAGCACCAGCTGGCCTGGAGAGGTGACTTAAGTTCCTTGTGCCTCAGTTTCCTCTCCACAAAGTACACAACCCAGAGCTTTGTTAGAATGATGATATACCAGGGCCCGGTACACACGTGCTCAACACTCAAAAACGTTCATCCCTTTCCTTTGTCCCTTCTCTAGTTCAGATGACCAGCTTCCAAGGTCAAGAGCTCGGGCAAGAATGGCCCAAGGGAGGGAAGCTTTGGGTGAAAGGGAGCCAGAGCCTTAGCTGGTTTCCCTGCGGTCCTTCCACTTCAAGGGATCAGGGGTGGTGTTGGACAGTCCAAGTCCCTTTAAGGCACATGTCTTTGCAGGGGGCAGAGCCCAGCAGAGTGGGAGGGGCACAAATCAGCAGCAGTCCCCACAGGTCTGAAAGGGGTTCTTTCTGACTTGGAGCTCTTCCTTCTCCACTCTGACCACCTTCCTCCAAAGTCTCTGTACCTGCTGTCCCCCCTGCCCAGCACACTAGCTTATCCCCTCCTCCACTAGCCTGCCTGACCAACGTTTCCCCAGAGGACCCTCCCTGCCTGGAGCTGGGTCTGCAAGCCCTCCTCCGTGACCCCACAGCGGTCTGTGAACCGCCCCCCACCCCACCATCCACAGGATAGCTTATTTTCTTGTCTCCATTGCCTGTTACAACAGTGTCTTGACCACTGCTGTACCCCCAGTACCTAGGAGAGTGGCTGCCCCCAAGTAAGCATGTGGTAAGTACCTGTAAAATGACTAAGTAGATAAATGGTCCCCAACCACCAGAATGGTCCAGATCTGCAGACCCTGGACATGTGTGGTCGCTGTCTTTCCAGCATGCATCCTATCTGATAACCCCACCCCACCCCCAACTTTCCCTTAGGGGACGCTCTTCCTCCTCTCTTTGACCAATGATTTGGGTGGGGTCAATCCCTCCTCCTTGACCTTGTGACTGGAGCCAGACCAATTAGAGCAGCCCAGTCTCCTTGGGGTCTAAATCATTGGTCCTGGGATGGACACATGACTTAAGCTAATCCAGTGAAAGCCATTACCAGGATGTTGGCTGGAAATCCTGGAAAGAAGCCCCATCTCTCTGCTGGTGTTCCCACATTTGTAAAATGTAAGCCTAGAGCTGGGTTTGATGAGTTTGCTTAGGGAAAATCTTGCTTAGGGAAAAGCTGCTTGTGAATGAAGCCAACCAACACAAAGGGAACAGAGATAGGAAAATGGGGAGGGGAGACTGTCTAAACTTCTGATGAATCATCTGGTCACCTGGATCCAGCTGTGCCTGAAGCAGACTCTTCTGGTAGTGTCTGGTAGCTCACCCAGCATCCATTCCATCCACTCACCATTTGCAAGTTTTCGGTTTATTCCTCACTCCAGAGGTGAGTGTGAGCAAGCTGAGCCAATAAGGTCATGACATTCCCTCAGCTGCGGTGATGATTCAAGAGAGAGGAAATGACCTAAATTGGGCCCATCAGAGGGAGGCTTGGGACTTTAGTCAATGTTGGGGAATGTATGTGGAGGAAGAAGCACCAGCCTCAGGAACGGCTTTCTCACCACCAGAAGGGAGGCCCACCCAGGGACAGGGTTAACATGTGCAGACAATCACAGAGGAAGAGCAGTCAGTCCTGATGATGTCAGAGACTCTGGATCGAACGCACCCTGAAGTCCATAACACAGATGCACCTTCCACTTACAGGAACCAATGTATTTCCATATTGCCTGGAGTAGATTTTTCTGTTACAACACGAGGCACCTTAACTGTTCCTCCCAGACTTTTCTCTAATACACGTTCTGTGTTTACACATACACAGGAGTCTCTCGCTGATCCTGTCTTTCTTTGGCACACCTAGCTTAGTCAGACCTCCTAGAGCCCCCGCCACTTGCCAGCTTCCATCTCCACCTTCCCAGAGCGGCCTGTGTGGCAGGGTCGGCAAACTTTCTCTGTAGAGGGCCAGGTAGTAAATATTTCAGGCCTTGCAGGCCGCTGAGTGTCGGTAGCAACCACAATCCCATTGTTGTAGCGGGAAAGCAGCCAGACAACACATAAATGTTAAGTGTGGCTCTGTCCTGGTAAAACTTGATTGACGGACACTGAAATTTGAATTTCGTGTAATTTTCACAGGCCACAAGATGTTATCCTTTTGATTTATTTTCTAGCATCTTGTATGTAAAAACCATCCTTAAGTCAAAGGCTGTGTAAAAACAGGTTGTGGGCCTGATTTAGCCCATGGGTCGTAGTTTGCAACCCCAGCTGTAGGGTCTCAAAGTGCCTTTGGACTCCCGGCTAGCTACCTTTGCCCTCTTCTGCTCTTCTCCCCCCAGAGCTGGGCCAAGCTGCTGAAGTCCAAGCAAGGCTGAAGGTCAAAGCCACTTACCAGAAGGACCACCCGTAGTCCCAGGAGTGGGGTCTCCAGTCTTCAGGGCCAAGACTCACAGTGACCTGGAATACTTGTGTGTACATCATGTGGGCTACCATTCCCAGGAGGCCTGTGGGGGGAGCAGAACAAGGCATCAGGAGGCCAGGTGGGGCTCTGTCCCCTTTGTCCCATGGACCTCTTAGTATTGGGGGACAGCCTGGAAGAAGAAGGGCCATCGGCAGGACTGGAGCAGGAAGCAAGAGGGGGGTGGTTTTCTCAGCCAGCCAAGGAGCTTGAGCTTGAGTGAGAGGGCAAAAGGCAGGCCTGGGCAAATTAAACAAGGGAGACCCAGAGTTAGCTCTGGGCATAGGTGGACACACTTTTTCTGTTAAGTACCAGATAATATAGATATTTAAGGCTCTGGAATCCATGCGGTGTATGTAGCAAACAATTCTCCACTGCTGTAGCACAAAAGAGCCATAGACAATAAATACATGGATGAGTATGGCCATGTACCAATAAAACTTTATTTACAAAAACAAGCGCTGGGCCGGATTTCACCCGTGGGCTATAGTTCACTGAGGCCTGCAAACTGTAAGGTCATTTGGTCATTTGGGAGAAGCAGCCTAGAGGGTATTTTTCAAACTGTAGGTCTGGACTCATTAGACTAGTGGGTCATGAAATCACCTTCACTGATTGCCAGCGGTTAAAAAAAAGAAAGAAAGAAAGAAAGAAAGAAAGAAAGAAAGAAAGCAAGCAACAAGAATGGAATAGAATAGACATACCCAATACCATCAAGCGTAGCAAGAGTGAATATTATTTTGTGAATCTTTTTGGTTCTATGCATATGTCCATGTGTGTGGTGACTGAAACATGAGATGTTTTTCTGTGGCTCACGGGTCAAAAATCTTTGAGCCCACTGGCTGGGAAAACCTGGATTCCCACGGATCTGAGTGGGAATCCCCTTCCCCCACATTTTCTCCATGTAGAGTTGGGCAAAGCTTCACTCTTTGAGCTTTGTTCAGATCTTTGGACCCTAAGATGAGGACTCTGACGGGTAAGGTAAAAGGTGGGTGAATGGGGCAAGGCAGCTTCAATGTCGGTGCCTGGGGGCATGGCCTTGTTATAGCTGGAAGAGTTATCACAACCCTGGGGGCATTTCCCTGTGTGGACCATGGCATCTGGAGCCCTCATGAACCCAACCCTAAGATAGAGTGATACAGTGTTGAGAAGAGAAGGGGTAGATAACAAGAAAGGAAAGTAATCACGCTTGTGCACCTGCTGTGGGCCAAGCACTCTGTGTTATTACCTCTTCCTTTTCGTAACAACCTTCTAAGTATCAGGAAGTACCATGATCGGGACTATGTACTATTGTTCAGGTTGCCCACTGTACATCTCCATAGTGTCCATTCACGATGCAGTCTACATGCGTGTCCCTCCCTTGAGATGAAGCAGAACCACGCCTGTAAGGCTGTATATGGCATCCCCGAGTATGATTATTCCCATTTCACAGGCGAGAACACAGAAGCCTGGAGTGGTAAAGTCTGTCCGTGGTTACGAAGGGGGTCAATGGCGTTGTTGGGGCTGGTGCCCAGATTCAAATGCCCTCAACTCCAGGGCTTATCCCGTGCTTCCCAGCGTGCATCTGTCCTCCCCTGGTTGCCTGATCACCCTCTTCCCTCTTCTTGAAGAGGAGGCAAGAGGAAAGATGGAGATAAAGGGAGGAGAGGAGGAGGTTAAGCAGAGACAGAAGTAAAGAGGGAGCAGGGCTCTGCATCCTGGAACTCAGAGTGAGCAGTGGAGGGAGAGGGCCACCCTGCATTCCCATAGTGTGAAGATAAATGTTGTACAACTGGTTCTCCAGAGGGAAAAGAAAAGCCCTGATCTGTAGCATTTGCCGAGTTCCATGGTGCATTGACTCCCACTAAGGCCAATCTCAAGCTACCGATGTGACGTCACCGAAAGCAGAGCAGAGCAGAGGTTGTGCCATCTGCGCTCCTGACCTCACGCCCGCAGGCTCCAGCACACCTCTGGGTCACGCTCTAGCCCCTGAACCCCGGATCTAACGGGGACCAAAGACGCAATGTGGCTGCCTGCTTCTCTGAGCCTAGGTCAGCCCCTTGTGGACACTTGTCACTGTTGCGGGGAGCCCTCAAGTCAGAAAATCCGGTACATTCTAGACTGCATTTTTAGTTGTGCCCTGGCAGGTGGCACAGAACTGTCCCGGGCTGTCACAGCCAACACAGCATCCTCTTTGGTCCTCTCTGCCCTGGCTCAGTCTATTAGAAGGAGGAGAAGAATGGTGAGCCATATGGCGATCTTATTTTTCTTTACTTGACACAGTCCTGGGTGAACTTGCCAAGAGGTACGTAATAGATCTACCTTATTCTTTGGAACTGCTGCATACAATTCCTTAATAATGAAGTAGCGTGTTTTACTTAACCAATCAATTGACAGTTATATTATTTCCAGGTTTTTGCTCTATGAGCAGTGCTGCAATGAACGCTTTTCTGTAAGTGTCTTTGTGCTTACAAGCAAGGATATCTGCAGAGGAGTAAGAAGAATTGCTGGGTCATGAAGCCTATGCATTTTAAATTTGAGTCAATGTCGGGGAATTGCTCTCTTGTGTGGTAGCTCCATCTTGTGCTTCTGCCAGCTGTCTGGGAGTCCTTACCCCAAACTTCACCGATGCTGCAGATTCCAAAACATTAAATACTATGCCTCTTGCATGACGCAGAGTGACTCTTCAACATCATTTAAAGTTTTGTGTTTCCTTCGTTCCTAGTGAACTTGGGTGTTCTTCACGTGTTGGTTGACCATTCCTACCTCTGTCCTTACAGTGCCTGTCTGTATCCTTTGTCAATTAAAATATATATATTACATATATACATATATTTATATATACACACACACACACACACACACATACACACACACATTTTCCCTTATCAATTGGTAGGAATTCTTTATGTATTCTGCATACTAATCCTGTCTGTTGCATAGAAGACCGAGAGTCTACTGCTTGCCTTTTCCCATGTGCTGCACATCTTTTTGTTTTTTAATTAATAAATAGACTTTGGTTTTTAGAGCCGTTTTAGGTTTCCAGAAAAAGTGAGGGGAACTTACAGAGAGCTCCCCTGTGCCCCTGGTCACCACTCCCACAGTTTCCCGTATGATTAATATCTGGCATTAGCGTAATATATTTGCTACCATTGACAAACCAACACTGATCCAGTATTAACTAAATTAAACTATTAACTTAGTTTACGTTAGGGCTTTCTCTTTGTGTTGTACATTCTATAGATTTTGATCAATCTTCCTTTTTTTTTTTTGGATCTTGATCAATCTTTGGTGACATGTGTCCACCATTACTGTTTCGACTCATTTCACGGCCTTAAAAATCCCCTGTTCTCCACCTCCTCATCCCTCCCTCCCTCCCACCTCCCTAAAGCCCTGGCAGCCACCAATCTTTTTACCGTCTTCATCATTTTGCCTTTTCCAGAATGTCATATAGTTGGAATCGTATGGTGTGTAGCCTTCTCAGATCGACGTCTGTCAGTTAGCAATATGCATGTATGTTTCCTCCATGTCTCCTCCTGGCTTTCCAGTGCTGAATGATGGCAATTATGGATAAAGCCTCTTTTGTCCTACATTTGGGTATCTGATATCGTCAAACTTACCAGTCTTTTCCCTTTTGGTTTTTGCTTCCTATGTCTACTTTTAGAAAAGCAGCATCGTAAGGGACCTGGGAGGCTCGGTCGGTTAAACATCTGCCTTCGGCTCAGATCATGATCTCCAGGTCTTGGGAATAAGCCCCATGCCCTCGGGCTCCCTGCTCAGTGGGGAGTCTGGTTCTCTCGCTCCCTCTGCCCCTTCCCCTGCTAACTTTCCCACTCTCTCTCAAATAAAAATCTTAAAAAAACAAAAAACAAAAAACAAGGCTTAGAAAAGTAGCACCATCAATACACGGTCCTATATTTTTATATTAATTCACCCAGAATTTATCTTGGTGAATGGTGTGAGGTAATTGTTTTTAATGAGTCGCTAATTGTTTTGAATCCTTGTAGAATGATCTGTTCTTTCTGCAGTGATTCTAAATGACATTTATATTCCAAGCCCCACATGTATATGAGCCTGTGTCCTAATGTCACTCTGTTCCACTGATCTCCCTCTGTCCCTGTGTCAATGCCACAGTGTTTTAGTCCTTATAACTCACAAGAGAGTCTGTTAGCTGGGAGGACAAGCCCCCTCTCCTCGCTGCCCAGTGCTCATTCCCCCTGGAACTGCTGCCCTACCCAGGAGCCTTGTGCCTTTGGTGGGGTCCCGACCCCTTCCCTAGCCACCCCAGTCCCTTTCTCGGGGAGGAGCTTTCTCTCCAAACACTCCACTGTTCTAACTTCTTCAGGTCCTTTGGTACCCTGCCAGTCCAAATGCTCCCTGAGTTATGTGACCTCTGGATGCCTTGGTTGGGGATGTTAGTAGGCACAGGTAATTCTAGTGAGCATCTACTAAAGAAAGAACTTTCATGAGAACAACCATTCCTTGGATTAGGGCAGTGGGGACATAACAAAAACTCCCAGCTAGACCCAGAAGCCAGACCCACCCTGTTGGCAGAATAATTAATTTTCCAAATCGTTAGTCTGAAAAAGCATTGATTTCTCTATCGAATTCCATTTACTCCTAAATACGAAAGGCCGTGCTTTAAGAAAATGACAATTCACTCCAAGATAGGCCGGTGAGAGTCTCTGATTGCATTTTGAAGATGCTCCTTTAAAAACCTGACCCTCACCCATGTTTCTGGAAGCAGGTCTGCTCTGCAAAGGGAGGTCCACGGTAGCATCTGTCATAGGAACCCTCTGCAGAAGGAATTGTTTCCAACTCCTCTGGGTGAAAAAGTGACTTTCTGCGGAGTTCCTGCACCTCCTAAATTAGCATCAACTAAATGAATGGGGCTTTCCTGCTCCGTGACTGCTGCTTCCTGGCGGGAAGGAAACTCATGGCTGTAAACCTCATTTTCCAAATCCTGCCACCATAAACAGGAGCCCCGACCCACAGCCCCACACGGTGAGGTGGCCATGGCTCATCCAAGCCTCTGGGGGACGCTGGAGAGCACTGGCTTGTGACTCTGAT